AGAAAAAATGCTACATTCTCAGACATAACAGCATTTAAAGTAACTAATTCTTGAAACTGTATCATTTTCCTTGGCTAGTAGAAATCAGTTTAATAATATCTTTCCTACTATGAATAGAGAATTATCAGGTTTCTCTATCAGAAGTCACCCAGCATTTTCAAATGGGTGAATTTTTTCAAATTTTTAGTGCAGATAGTGCTTTTATCCTGTACTGTCAGGTACACATTACAATGCTAAAAAAAAGTAAATAAAATAATTATCCTCCCCCATTCAATTGCTCCTAATTCTCAACATAAAGAAGCTACAATGACTGATCAGTGGAAATTGCTGCAGTTCCTCCGGAGCTTTTCTATTAAAAAACCTTCTGAACACTTGGGCTGACTACCAGGACCAGGTGCAGAATTCTGCACCTGGTCTTGGTAGTCAGCTGCCATAAGAGATGGCACAATTCCCTCTGGAAGCAAGGTCAGGCCTAAACATATGCAAATCCTAAAGACTTACGGATGACAAAAGACTGCAAGACAAAATAGAAATCTCTGCACCAAATCCTTTCTTAACTAGCATGCGAAAGTCTTGTGAATCAAGCAGTGTTATAATTAATTAATATGATAAATAAGTGTTCTAATACACTTTCTGTATGATTTGGGGAAATGTACATACAATTTGTAATGTTTCATTCATGTTATAGGATGATACAATTGCTATAGGTTTGTATACCACTGTAAGTATTTATCTACCTTTGTTGACCAGGACTGTATGACATTTTTACCCAGAAAGATATTAAGGGAAAACCAACAAGTTTAATGACTGAGCTCTGGCTATGCAACAAGAAAACTAAAAAAAGCAAACTAAAAGTATAGCTTTGCCTTATTTGTAGGGAAAAAAAAATACAAATTTCAGGTAAAAGAGGTAAAGATGGTCATTGGATTTCTAGTGGACTCCAAGAAACATACTGGAGCCAGGAGAAAATAAAAGATGAGTATGTTTAGCCAAAGATGTAGCTCAAGGGCAAACCAGAAAGATCCAGGACCATGTTCCAGTCACAAACCAGAGGGATTAAAACACCTGAAGGAGGTAAAACTTTCAGTTTGTGTTGTTTTCACATAGAAAATAAATGTATTATCTCATACTGTTACAGTAAAGGACAACAGTGGCTTCAGAATCTCTGCAAGTGGTTCTGGGCATGTTCTCACATCTGTCATGGTCTCCCTCATGAAAATCTCAAGAGAAATGTCCAGGATTCTGGGAAATTGTTATTAAGGTAAAGTGAGATCTTGAGATAGCTGCTCAGTTGCATTATGCAGTTGAACAGTGGATTCAAGCACATGGATGAGAGTGCTAAAATGTGAAACCTGCTTTCAAGTGTGTTCCTGAGACCCCAGGCTTGGGGCAGTAACCAGATTTTGTTTAGTTTTCAAAGATATAAAGCACATTGGATCCAAGGAACGCAGTCCAAATCTTCAGTATGGCAAAAGAAATCAACTGGAGAGGGTAACCAGATCTATAACAAATACTATTCAGATTCTCATTTTAAGTTGTTCATGTTTCCAGTTCAAATCGTATCAGAACAAAAGATTCTTTTGAAAAACATTAACCTCAAATTCCTTTTGATGAAATACAAAAACAGTATAGTGGTTAAGCCACAGTGGGAATTTTTCACTGATAGTAAAGGTTCTCTCACGTCACCTGAATCTATTATTTTCTGAGAATATTCTGATGTTACAGCCCAACTCCAAGCCTTCACTCAGAGTATATGTAGGAAGTACTACTAAGCAATCAAGCATGAATAAACAGTAAGTTTAAGGATGCCCACACATCCCAATGAATGCACATCTGCCAGTTTACACACCAATTTCACTGGCATACGCTGCGTTCAAATAACAATAAACGTTTTTTCTACAGGCAGAGGTACTTAGGAGTCTACTAAAACTGTACGCATTATAATCTGAGGTTTTTTACCTTTTTATGCAAGTTTCCTGTTCTCCAAAATATTTATTTTAATAATTTTGACAAACAGGTTTTGGGGTTTTGGTTGTTTTTTTGTTTTTTTAATCCTGTCACACAGAGTTTTTATTATCTGGGGGAAGAGTCTTACAAATTAGTGTGTGTTGACCTGGACAGAAGCACGGACCCAGAACCTCTGGTTTCTCCTCAGTTAGCTGAGTGAGAAGATACTTCAGAAGAGAAGCCCTGCAATTTGTGCTACTGCAGTCCTGTGTCTTAGGTGCTATGTGGTGTCTCTCAGATCAACCTCATTGAATCTAGCTTTGTAGACATGACCTAAAAAAAAATTATCTCAAAGCTATGAATGTAGATGAAGTTGGGATTTTGCTTGTGCTGACTTCTGACCAGTGTGATCAATCTAAAACTTAATACAGTCTTAAAAAAACGCTGCATTAAAGACTTTTACAGTCTCAGGTACTAACAATTTATTTACCCTCCTTCTAAGGCAATCGATAGTAACAATAAAAAAGACTATTAATAATTTACATTATTTTAAAATATTTCTTGCCCCAGGTAAATGGAATTTTTCAGAATAAATATTAAACTGGATTTAAATTTAAGTTGAAAGAATGAGGTTTTCAAATATCTGCACTCAAATAATCTGTGAATACAGAGAAGTGATTAAAGAAAATATTGAGATCTTTTAACCATCTCATAAGTCTCCTGCAGACAGATATGCACTATCAGTCCCATTTTTTTCTACAGAGAACAGTGTCACTGTGCTTTCAGACACTCTTCAACATGGACACAGCTAGTTGCTAAACCCATTATCAAGTTGAATAATTTTAATATTTCCTTTGTGAATTGACTGCAGAAGCATATTATTCATTTAAATGGTCAATCCTTAAATGTGAAGTTTTTAGTTTCTACTAAGTTTTTTTTCAGAATAAACATTTTAAAAAAAAAAAAAAAGTAACAGGATTGCAAACAGGAATCAATGACTACCAGAACCAACATAAAGTTCAGAGAAGACAAAGTCACTTGTTTAGTATAGAACTTACAATTTTTTCCCCAGTAAATGAAGATGACTTTTTTCCCCCCTCAAGTAAGGATTCTGACCAAATCCTATCTTCAATTAGGCTAACATGTTGCTCACATAACACACAGAAAGTCACAAAGATAGGCAGCAAGTGTTTAATCTGCAGTGGAAAGCCTAGTGGTTAACCATGCAAACAAATTATTTAACATTTTCCTCAGGAATCATTGCATTTCCATCTCCAGAGTGGTTAACATCTGCGTGTCATTTCAGTAACACATAGTTATGGTCAGAACATCCAGAGTGTGTATCACCTAAAGCAAAAATGTGGAGGTTAATGTTTTAAGGCACTTGATTCAACCAGACTAATAAATTTTCCTTCCCCTGTAGATGATCTAAGTGAGGTCATTTAGACAACCAGAGCTGGGAAACTTACACTCAACTAAATGAATCATGCATCTAGAGAATGCTTAAATTCAGAAAAAGACTGAGGGTAGCAACATGCAAATTGACAAAACTACTGAAGAAATGCAATTACAGAAAAAACAAATATAACATGGGATGTCTGTAAAGAGATATCAAGCACAGGAACAAAAAAATAACAGTAATTTTTCCTCTGCCTATGAGGCCAGCAATAATGTTTCCAGTGTCTTACTGGAAGACCACTGAATAGCTCTTAGTCTTTCCCATTAGGAAGATTATATAGAGACAAAGAGTTGTAAAACACAGGAAAGATCACAAACACACATGCAAAAGCAGAATAAAGCCAATAGGGTAGGAATAATAATAATAGAAGGTGAAAATACAATCTGTTTGCACAAATTAGGATGGCATATCTAGGCACAAATGACATGCGCTAATGTAAATACTCATCAGAAAAAAACTTCTCAACTGAAAGATGAAGTACTTTGTCAGATAATCCATCTTTGAACTTACACCTCATTGTTACTTTGAAATATTAGGTCGGTGTACTGAATGTTGTAATCCCTTACGTGGCAGAAAACACTTTTTGCAACTTCCCTTATGCTTAATATAAAAAGCAACAACAAAAGATGTATCAAAGATAATTTACTTCTGTGTTTCCAGAGTGAGACCAAAAGTAACTGAAGGGTTGAAATAAGAGAACAGGTTTGTTTATTGCTCTGATAAAACTGGTAGTGCCACTCAGTCTGTAATTGCCTTTGTACAACTCTCCTGCTACAATCACTATTTCAGTAACTCTGGTTTAGCAGACAGACTACTTAATCTAGAATTCTTCTCCCTGTCTATAGAACTTCTCTGAAGCTGTAAACTGCATGACAGGAACTTCTCCTACAACACTATTTTAAATAATATTGCATTCTTCAAGAGCAAAATCCTTCTCTTAAATCTACATGATAAATTTTGATTGGGGCAGTCTACTCCTCCTATTGCTATGAATGTAAACTGAAGTTTGCATTGCACCAAAAATCAAATTGAAAGTTATCAGATGTTGAGAGAATAGGTCCCTTCTTTGAATTTTTTTTTTCAAAAGCTAATACCAAAGAGTCTGCAGTTGAGTATTTGTTCCTTGTCTAGAGCTGTTTTGTAGACATTGTCTAACACACAAATGGATCTATAAAGTACCACAATATATGATAAATTGGAAAATGGCATCATACAATTAAAAAGAAATCTTAAGGAAGTATAACTCAATACGATTTATACTTAAAACAGAGAAGGCTACTACAAAGAGGTTCTATGGTGGCATATAGATTTCAATGTATCTGTAGATTTCCTCAAGAAAGTATGCACACCACCATTAATCTCATGGGCAGAATTTGGCAATGTAGTCTTTACAAGCAACACAAAGATCTCTTATTTACCAAAATGCTAATGCTGAAACCTTCAGACAGATTCACATAATTTACACACCCAAATCTCACTAAAATTTGAGCATCCAGTTCAAATTAAGTTTTTGAACATCTCTCACTATGAACTCCTAAATCCCAAAATTCACCGTAATTCCTTCTGCCAAGATAGGTTTTCATGATTACATTACCTTGCTCATAGAGCTCCTCCATTGCTCTCCAAGTTTCAGCTCGGATCTCTCGATTGCTTTTACCTGGAATACATGCATCAGGCCAGTGTATTAAATAAAGATCTAAAAAAGAAAGAGAACCAGACTACTCATTAAAGTGTCTAAAAATATATATATATCAAACTATATGAAACAGCATTTCCCTCCATAATGGCCCCTAACATATCATCATCAAAATAGTTACAATTACTACTCCATGATTATTACTCTATACATGCATTTAGTTTTAACAAACTAAATTGACAACATCTCAGCAACAACTAAAGGTAGCAGAAGTTGCACATGTGGCACATGTTTAGGACACTGTAATCAACATTTCATGATCACATATGCACTTAATAAACTTTCAACACGTAACAGTCCCCATTTAAATCAAAGGGATCTGGTCACTGAAATTAAGACTGAACTACTACAAATCTTTGAGTTTATGGAAGATAAATATGTTTGACATTTCTAATGATACTTTATACAACCTCAGCAGTGTGACTGTTTTTATTTAATTTCTAACTGCAGATTAAACAGGTAACTAGACATCCCAGTCAAAGAGGTGTTGGTCTGCCACACACATTAGTCTGACACAAAACAGGAAAAGGAAATAAATGCATGACTGAGATGTGCCTCATTGTCTTTGTGCTTTATAATATTCCTTTTTTGCAGTTCAAATATACAGTAAAGAAAACAAAAAAGACTGCAATGAGCAGAGTTTTTTCTTTGAATGCATTACACCATTATTTACAGCACCTCTTTGAAAATGCAGATCCTCTGCCATATTTTTTTTTGTATTCACATTTAATGACTGCACTAATGATTACTGTAACACTGGTCTGGTATATTCGCTTTCCACCTCTAAATACAAATTCAGCCTCGATTTAGGAGGAAAAAATAACATGAAATTCACTATAATACATGAGTTTTCATTTGGGTACATCATTGCAACACTGTTAAATAGTATTTTGCTTAGGCTGAGAATCTAATTAGAACAGTACAGAATTTTGTACAGTAAGATACATTACAGATGTATTGAGAAAAAAATATTTTGAGTGTATCACAAAAATCATGAACTAAATTTGCACTTTCTGATATCAATAACCCATCAGTCTTCTAAACACAATTGCTCAGACAAGCAAATATCACTCATGTAAAATGATTTGCAGCATATGGATTTATGTCACATTTAAAGAGAAAGTTGCTCATTCTTTGCCCTTACATACTTATAATCCATTCCCAATTTAGAAAAGAGTAAAAAAAAAAAAAAAAAAAAAAGTGAATAACTACCTCTTCTATAATTGTTCTGAAAAAATAAGTTATTATTTATTAAGTTGTATTTATTAAGAAAAAATATGAATATATGGTACTGGAATACACACCAATTCCTGTGATATTTAAGTGAAAGTTAATATTGGGGTATTGACTAAAGCATTTGGTAAGGTTATGTTCAACTCAGGACTACTCTAATTCTGTTGCCAAAAAAGTGTCTTAAAATTTGTTCTGATTTATATGAGATGCAATCTCAAGGATTAGCATTAGGAATTGCTAATGTCAAGTGTTCATTTTGATCCAAAATTATATATGCCATTGGTGGTACTTGCTGCAGAGAGACTGCCATGTTTTAATTTAAACTTTTTTGCTTGGATAGAGCAAATGTCATATACAAGTAGTTGTAAATTACTGGTATCTGATGCCTACCTCATGAAAAAAATGGAAGAATTACTTATATTTAATTCCTACTTTTTCTGTTCTCCAAATCAGACTAATAAGAACTGCTTAAATGTGCAGAAACATGTCGTAGAGCACCAACAAAAAATAATCATTAACTTCAGCAGAATTTCACCAAAAGCTACTTTTCCAAAAGCCTGAATATTCAGTTAGACATCACAGTTTGCAAACACTCACAGAAATAACTACATCATAGATTTCCACATACAAAGATGCTTTGTACTCAGCCCAAGAAATTGAAATACTCTCAGAAGAATGACTTAACATATTTGATAACTGAAAGATTATCTGGCCTTGGATATTTAAAAAATGCAGTACATGGCCCTTCCCTGTATTAGTATCTGAGACCTGTTCAATGCAAATGTGATTAGCTGTTGGTCCTTTATTTTAGAAAGTGATGTTATCAGGTATGTGACGTCCATGACAGCCTATTATATTGTCCTGGTTTTGGTTGGGATAGAGTTAATTTTCTTCCTAGTAGCTGGTACAGTGCTGTGTTTTGGATTCAGTATGAGAATAATGTTGATAACACACCGATGTTTTAGTTGTTGCTGAGTAGGGCTTATCTTAAATCAAGGATTTTTCACTTTCCCATGCTCTGCCAGCAAGCAGGTGCACAAGAAGCTGGGAGGAAGCATGGCCAGGACAGCTGACCCAAACCAGACAAAGGCATGTTCCATACCATCGGATACATGCTCAGTATATAAACAGAGGGGCGCTGGCTGGAAGTTGGGGATTACTGCTCAGGGACTGGCTGGGTATTGGTCAGCAATTGCATTGTGTATTACTTGTTTAGTTTTCTTTCCACTGGTTTTATTTATGCCTCCTTTACTTATATCCCTTATCATAACAATTATTTTAAAATATATTAACAACAACAACAACAATAATAATATTTTAGTTATTAAACTTTTCTTATCTTAACCCATGATTTTTACTTCCCCCCCTCTAATCCTCCTCTCTATCCTGTTGGGAGGAGGGAGAAATGAGCGAGTGGCTGCATGGTGCTTAGTTACTGACTGGGCCTAAACCACAACATATATTTAATTTAGGCTTTTTGTTGAAATAGAAGTTACTTGACAGTTAGAGATATACACATTTAATGCTAGAAAGCATCTACTGAATCATGAAATGCAGTCCTCCTGACTGCAAGAAGTGTTCATGAAGATGTGGGGCAAAGGTACCTTATCTCAAAGATAGAGTAGCCTTTCTGCCAGTCATGCACAAACCACCCCACCACAGCTCCAAGTGGAAGAAATACAATGTACCTTGCAATAAGCAATGAAGCTGTCACTCTATTTAAAAAAAAACAAAACAAAACAACAACCTAAGCATAGTTCATTTTTAATTAGGATCTGCCTACTTTTACTGCATCTGTTAGAAAACTTCCTATAATAGCTTATAGGCCAGTAAAACCAGTAAGCACCTCACAAACCAACGTCTAGGATTTCATCTTCATTTGTACACACACTCACCCCTACATATTTTCTTTTGCTTAAAATATTTCCCCTCCTGGGGAATTACAAGAACACAAACACTCTCATTTTCACTTTGGAGGCAACAAATTAGTTTTAAATTATTTATTAAAATAGCTTAAGGTTCTACTATTCAAGAAATATGTAACTTTATTACTGGTGGTTTTTAAGAACAGACTACATATTTATCTGTTGAGAACAATGGGGTTGTGCCTTGTAGTGCAATAGATTAATCAATACTTTGAGATGTCTTCCAATCGTTTTTTTTTAAATCATCTTAACTCAAAGCAAAAAAAACCCCAATGATTCACAGTATCAGGATGCACTTGTGAAATAAGAAAAAAACCCTCCAAACACTCACAATCAAATTTATTTATCAGCTTTTTAAAGCATCCTTTACAGACACTCAAGCTATCCTGGTGCCATGGGTAAGTGAAGGCCTGAAGTTCAAATGTCAAAACACAGTGCTGCAGGAAAACTAAAATTAACATATGAACTGCTTTCACACAGACATTTAAAATCAAGTGACTTATTACTTCTTAGCACCTACAATCAACCAGTTGTTCTTATCTCAAAACTACAGGGACATTTTACACATTTAAAAGCCAATAGCATGTTATCATAGAAATGAAAGTTTACAATTCTATTCAAATTCCTAATACAGTATTTTTAAAAAAGGTCAAAGTTAACTAAAACAAACCTAGTTTTGAAGAACAAGCCCTGGCTCATAGCAAACCTAAAAGTATATTTTTCAGTTAATTCAATGATTGTATTTTCCCTGCTTTTCTCAATCAGCACTGCACTTAGTATGTACATGATGTACTTTTCTCTTCCACCCAGTATTCTTTTTTTTTCATTCTATTGGAACAAGGATCAATGTGAAGCAACCTCCAAAGTGTTCTTAATACACAAGCTGAACTGTGTGTATTATCATAATTCATGTGATTGATCCATTACACTGAATATGCTGATAGAACATTAGACCAACTCCAGCTGGGGACTTGTAATAGGTTAGATCTGCCTGAATGTGACAGACTCTGAAGAGTCAAAAGGAAAATAAAATTGTTTATGAATTCAGTAACCCACAAATCACATTCAAGAAGTTACTTCAGAGGCTTGATCCAAATCCCAAGGAATGCATTCTACTACTGCCAAACCTGTAAGTTTTGCTGCCATTTCATATTGGTTTGCTGTGGCTGCTAGTTGCAGACCACATTTAGAAAATGCAAGGAGCAGAATATCCATTACAACCACTGCCCACAAATAATATAAATTTCCAGCTTCTCATGGACATATAATCTACTGATTCAAATAAAAATCCTGGAACACTGCTCTCCTAATACCATATGCCTGAAAAGTGTTTATCAAAAAGATTTCATAACAGTATTTCACATGGAACACTTTTTCTCTTCAAAAGCTGTGACTGCTTTCAACAGTTCATCTGTTTCAACATCTGGCATTCTACATACTGCTAATGCACAGATTTATCAATTCCTGCTAGATTATTCCCCAAGTCTCTAATTCAGCCTGCATGGATAGACTGTGTAGCCCGTAAGAATCCTCAAGAAAAGCAACAGGACCTTCCTTGGAACAACGAGCTTAGCTGCACATTTAGCTGCCAGGTCTCCCATAGCTTCTTTTTGCAATCTTCTGAATAACTTTCCCTCCAACATAAAGGTCTAGTATCACGGACGTTAGGATCTTTCAATTTTCTGTATGAATCATGTATCTTTATGGAAATGCTGTGAAACATATTTGGTTAACATCACATAATGAAATCAGGAAATTCTGGTTTAGGTACATTTCATGTACCTTTAGTTTACATTCTTATTTCACAGAAAAACTGCCAGCTCAAACACATGCTTGAAACTAAAGCTTTCCTAAATAAGCTCAGATGTGAATTGCTTTGTTATTACTAGATCTTTTCTTGTTATGTTCTCTCTATAGTACAGAGTGGCCAGCAGAAAAGTGACACAAAATGCAGGTATGAATGAAAACAGAGCTAGCATATCTAAGCTTAGTTCTACAAGCTTATAACCATATTTTCAAACCAATCTTCTGCGTTCCTGTTACTTTTGTTAGACTTGTGATAAGCCTCCATTTCCAACAAAAAGCTATTCTAAGCATTCCTGAAACACTTGAAAAGTTTGTTTCAAGGTATTGCCATTTTTTGCTTCCAACAGCGCCTTTCAGCTGAGTGCTTTCAGACAGGAGATACAGGACTCTGTAAAACATGATGCTTTCTATGAACACCATGAAACACACCATGTATTGTACCTCCTCTAAGGGTCTAGTTCACCAGCATGTATAGCACTAAACATAGAACTCAACCTCATTTCTTTCATGAGTGCAGACCATACTGTGTTTAACAAAAACGGTCAGTGGAGTGGATCCAACAGAGAATAAACTCAAGCAGCCAAAACCGTTACCCACTTGCCATTCCATCATTCTTGTGGAGGTCACCTTCCTCATTGACAGGTCAGTGAATTGCACGGGAAGCACTTCCTAAGCCATCACAGTTTACAAATCATCAATTTAAAGCAAGCTGAAACCAGCATTGATTTAGGTCACTATGTCGGACTAAGTGCTGGTACAGGAAGAGCTTTATAAATTTTTCATACATATCCACATCAGTGGAAGAGAGGTGAGGAAAGAGGGAGGATGGGTGAGGGTATATTTAAGAAAAAAAAAAAAAAAGATATAAAAAAATCTAGTATGGAGGCAAATTGCATAGGTAGTTGCAATAGTCGCAGAGTCAAACATATCTGAGAAACTGAAGTTCTGTTTATGCCAGTCCAGGGATTCACTCACATGGTGATAGTATTTGTGTATTTCTTGCTCTTATATATTTTTTTCCTTGTTTCATGTATTTCTGCTTAGCAGAAATGTGTAAACTGAGTATTTGTGTGAGCACCTACTTTGATCAGTCTACTACCTGAGAAAATAAAAGCAAATTACAGTACTAAAAGGAATCACTGAAAATTACTTCCTGGAAGTGAGTCAAGTTTTCCTCTCATCGACTTCCAGCACCAGTGTCATAGCAAGCAGAATTAAAAAGAAAGCATACACAAGAATAACAAGCAGAAAGCAGAGAGGAGGAAACATTTCCTAATTTAGAGGAGAAAGTCAGGCTTGAAACCTTGTTTATGAAAGTCTCCTTGCAGTGACCTGTACTTGCATGGGCAGACAAAAAGAGATTTTAATTAATTTTGCACTACTCTGTACCTGTGCAGGAAGGTAAGGGATACATTTCCAGAAAGAATGGAGTCAAAGATGTTCATACAAATATCTGTCTTCGACAGATATAGGGCTTTTTTTCCACCTTCAACTTGCAGTACCCAAGAAAAAAGCCAGTGAATAAAGCACACAGCTGCCACTCATATGCCATGAATTCTGCAAAATCTGTACTTCACAAAAGCTGTTCACTTCCTTATTCAAGTTTATTTATTGGTAATGGGGAGACGGGGAAAAAAGCAAAATGAGGGTTTTCAGGACACTGACTATCTGATGGTTAGGTCAATTATTCCTTGATTATCAGCATAAACACTATCTCCACCAGTGTCCTTATTCTAGATTATTACTTTAAATTCAACTTTCTCTACCTGTACTTTCTTTTCATTGCTCCAGCTAGAGAAGAAGCAGTAAAAGTGTTTTTAAAAATATCATATTTATTTTTACCTGGTACCTCCTCTCCTACGACCTGTTGCAAAGAATTAATTGGCATCATTATTGCAGCTCTTTGCCTGTCTAATAAGGGAGCAACAATATTACATCTTTGACTACAAGAAGTTTATGAACAGGGTAAATTTAAAAGTGCGTAAGCCTAATTCAGTGTTAGATTCAGCCTTCTAAAGTCTTGTAGATACTACTAACATTTCCCCCAAAGCATTTTGCATCAGATAGCCCAAACCAAAGGCGATTATTCAGAATTTTAAAAGGTTAATAGACTTACAAAATAAGTTTCAGAAAGGACACCCATTCCTCCAAATTGAGACACCACAGAAGAAATCAGGCATTTTTGTCACTCTATTACCAATAAATTATTGTAAAAATTTATTAATCCTTGTTTCATAGGTTTTGGGTGCTTTTAGCAAAATATATAAAACTCATGTAGTGATTTCTCAAATCAATTTAACAATTAAACGTACCTTTACAAAACATATACTGATCTGTTTTAAAACATTTGCAACAAGGAAAAATTCTGTGCTCTCAATTATGTGTGTGTGAACTTCATAGAGAGCAAACAGAAGAAGAAATCTGCAAATTTGTAAATAAAGACAGAATTTGGTTTCTGTGATCTATCTGTACTACATCCATTTTTTTCAGGAATTCATTCATCTTTGCAAACACTCACATGGAAGGTGCAATAAATGAGCTATATGTAAAGATTCATACCAAGATAGTCAACACCAAGTCTTTCACATGATTCCAAGCAGGCTTTGGTGGTGTTCTCATAGCCATAATCACTATGCCACAGTTTGGTAGTTATCCAGAGGTCCTCTCGCTTCACACCACTCTCTTTGATGGCCTTTTGGAGGAGAGATTCACAGCCATATCTTTTTGCTGTGTCAATATGACGAATGCCACATTTCTGCAACGCATGGACCACAGCATCATGGGAATAGCCACCTTGATGGGAAGTACCTAAACAAAAGAAATCAGAAGTGAATTGTCAGCAGTGAATTATGAGGGACATCTTTTTAATTTTTGTTTTCCTTTGTATATAGTCGCAAAACCTTATTCAGTTTTCATTTCTTAATAGTAAAGAAACAGAAACTGACAGATCTCTAGGCTGGGAAAATACATAAAGTGCTAGAATGATGACACTGATCAGAAATAACTCCACCAAAACCAAATATCAACAGTATTTAGCTGCAAATAAGTGATTTCAGAAGTCAGGCTGAAGACCATCAAAGAGAAAACACATACTTTATGGAAAATTAGTATATGGCACTTAATTTTCATATAGGAGCACAACATTTACAGATTAAAATATTAACAAAAGATGTAAAATATAACCTAAAAAGCAATGTACTTTTCAGAAAGATTATCCTGAAACCTTTACTCTGTTGAACTCTTGTCAGCTTCAACTTATTATTGCATTGTACAACCCCAGACCAGGCCATACCACAGGTGTAATTCACATAATGTCAAGCTCAACAGTAACCAAAACAATGGAATCCTACACAAGAGTTACAGAATGGGCATAGAGGGAGTTTCAGTAACAAAGTACTGTAACTCTCATTGTATAGGTATTCATTGGATGCGTATTTTGCATGTCAAGGGGACGGAAGGAGGAGGAGACTCAGCAGGAAAGGCAACCAGCAGGAGGACTGTCAGATAAAGAACTGGTTGAGAGCAAGGAGGATGATGTTTCTACTTACCCTTTCCTGTTAGTTGTTTTTCCTGCCATGAGCCCCATACCCATTCACCCTCACTCACACACTTCCCACAAACAGTATTTTCTACAGTTTGTTGGAGGAAATGCTCCATCAGTTCCAGTCAGCTACCAAAGCCACTTCTAAGATGATGATTAGCACTTAAAGGCCCTAGTGCTATAAACAATAGTCGGTATGCAAATGGCTGTCACTAGCTTCAGAAGGACCCTGTACACTTGTGACAGTTGACAGCAACAGGGTCTTCAGCCACTGCTAAATCTAAATAAATAAAGGACTCCAGGTCAAAAAAGAATAATATAAAGTGAAATTTTTATCTGCTATTAACTTTCTCTTTCCCTCCAAACCTAATTATTTCTACATCAAACACCATCTGCATGTTATGAAGTTAATAAATGTATATAGTCACCCAGACTGTCAGAAAAAGGAAACAAATGAAAACACACACAGTTACCTTAGACTCATCCTTATAACTTCCCATACCTGAGCTGGAAAGCGAACGCCCATGGGAGTCTGCACAACTTTCTCAGACATGTTGTAACAATGCATGCAAGAATGAGAGAACTTGCAGAAGTCCTACTTGCATGTGAACCAAGCCAGATTCTCCTATTAGCATTTTCGTTCATTCCTAATCTTAGAAGGAAAGCCAATGATACCTCTGTAATCTTGATCAACACTCCAAGTAATTTAAAATGTAATATGGTCTGATATCACACACATACACCTGAGGATCATAACATTCTGCTGATCACAGTAGGACAAACCCCACTTTACGTTTATGACCTACAAGATGTGGAGTATTGAATTAATTTATTTTCATGGATTTTAAAGTGATGAAATTGTAATACTATATTCTTACTGTTTTGACAGGCACATCATAAGTATTTTACCTTCCAAATGTAAACAAAGTTTTAATGTTTTAAAAGACAAAACTTTAAACTTCTTTCCTCCATAGGCACCAATTACTATTGTCGATTAACTTGAATCATCTAGGAATAGATGTCCCTATAACTTGTTTTACATCAAAATAAGTCAAGTTAGATCAATTTACATTTTCAAAATAGCTATTTCAAAATCTTCATGAATATTTAAGAATTTTTGATGAATGCAATGCTACTACATTGCAACTATAGGGAAAGTATATGTAATCATTACATTATTCAGATACTAAAGGAATTCTCTTAAATAGTTATATAACTAGCATAGAAAAATTAATATACTTTTTCATAACAATCCCTTCACTTTTAATAACCTGGTATTGGTGCCAAATAAATGAGGTTGTAACTATTGTGTCTGTTTCTGGCTGAATGGACATTTCTAAGCACAGAATGAATGGAGTTCATTTAGAGGTCTTGCAAATGGACTCGGACTCTTTTAATGCATAATGGATTTCAGTAAGAACATTTAGGACAAACAACTTTTTTAAAAAAATAACTCTTTTAAAGTTAAAGAGAGAGAGTGGAAAAGAAGGAAAATTCAGAATAATTTTTCTATTGTTCCCCATTTAGTGATGGCATGCATTCTTGTTTCACAGGAAATAAAGAGGTCAAGATCAGTCTGGAGGGAATTATCTCCATTTTTATGCCTGAAAATGAACTATAACAGTCCCGATGCACTAAACAGTAATTAAAAAGAAAGCTTAATTATTTTGTGTTACTACTTTGCAAGTCAACTTAATAACAAGCAACAGGTTTCTGAGTTAATTATGCTACCAACATAACAGCTTCTAGACTTTAGAAATCAGTTTTCTTGTATTTACTCATGTGATTAAATATGTTATTCATAGATGCAGAAGGGTGACAAAAGAAGGTGGAGTGACTTAAATGTCTTTTTTTATATTTTAAATCCAGACTTAATGTTATTTGAACACCTTAACATTCTTACATGTTTGGCATTACCCTTTGTTCACAACGATGCAATTCACACTGTACATGTACATTTAAAGACAAAATCCAATCATGCATTTAAAACAAATATGGACTAGCACCCATTCCATCCCCTTACTGTTTCTAAAAATATTGAATTAATATATTTTTATTCTAGAATTCTCTGATAAAAATATTAATTATTTTTAATAAAGGAAGTCAAATACAAATAAGTCTAGAAAAGCTCCCTATTTTTTAGCTAATATTTTAGCTTGTTTCCTAGGGGAAAAGCACTGTTCTCTCACTGACTGAACTAATCCAAATTTGACAGATCTAACGATATCTGAGATAATTACATTACTACAGATTTTTTGAAAACTGGTGGTTGGGAGGGACAAGGATACTGCAGGGGAAATATGGATAAGTCAAACCACATGAATTTGTTGAAAACTAGGCTTAATTAGTTACGTTGTTATTTTGTTGTGACTACTCATCACTTTGAGACCCTGAAGAACACTGCTATCAAAACTGGGATGAGAAACATGCTCTGGCAATTCATAAAAAGTTTTAAAGATCATTAGAAAGGCAGAATCCTGTTCACAATGTGTGTGTGGGAAAACAAATCCCAATCAGCCACACCCCCTCTAACCCCCTAAAAAGACAAAACCAACAACTTCCCTCCCCCCAAAACCCCACCAAAATGTAAGCCAACTAACAAACCAAAACACTACACACACCCCCTCAGTTTTATGCACCACCTCAGCTGACACTCAGCCTCATTAAACATTCTGTTCTCCTTCACAGAAGCTGTAGAACTACAGATAGAGATCCAAGCACCAACAGTTTTTCAAAAGAGAATCAGGACCTACTTTCTCTCCCCAATTTCTCCCTCCATTTGTGGAGGAGCATGTCTTCATGTTCTTTGTGAAATGTGAAAGTATTATTTATCTGAATATATAAAAATATATTAATGTTCTGTTACATGAATAACTTTGGCTACTTGAAATCAATGGAATCACTTACATTAGAAGAGTTCCTGTTAGTGAAACCGCAGCCAGGATATTTAGAGATCATATCAGAGATTAATGATCTTCTGACATCAGTAGTCAGTACTAAATTAAAACAGTTGACAAACAAAACACCTACAAAAATGCCCATTCCTTTGCTGATTTATTTTAATCTCCACGTAATCACTTGAGAAAAGAACTCTCAAAAGCAAAAGCTCAAACATCCTTTCACCCATGTTTACATTGCTCACTGTGTATATATGGTGTTGTATACCATAATAGGCTTGAAATGTCTTGTTCTATTAGTTTCACTTCTATTATTTCAACATTACATCAACATCAGGGCCACATAATGCATCTTATGGATATATTAAAGTTTTTGGTATCGATACAGTTTGATTTGACCAATTATCTTACAAGCAAATTTGATGATAAAACATGAAATGTTGCCTATACACAGAGTAAATGAACATATAACACATTTCAAGGTCTACTGCTAACCCATTCACAAAATCACATGCCGCTTCTATGGAATGGCTCAGGGACAGACAATCCATACTTGCTGGCCTTGATTACTGTCTTACTTCCTCCTCCTCCTTCTCTACCTACTTCTGTAATCATATGATCCTCTCACAAGCTGATTCAGATTGTTAAATGACCAAGAAAGTGTATAGTTTTAGAATTATTCATGAACCTGAATAACTCCCCAGAGGGGAAAACCCACTAAATTCTGGGCAAGGTATCGGGCAAGAAAAATCCCCCTTTAGCAGCAGTAGTTAAATAATTTATTCAGAATTTCTATTAAAATTAAAAAGACACAAACAAAAAACAAATCACAGTTGTGTTCAAGTCAACCACCAAATGATCAGAAACACCTCCTCCATGAACCTGTCTCTTGAAGCCTTTCTTTTTATTATGTTCCCCAACATCATCCCTAGAGCTGCTCTCAGAAAATCAGGTAACATCACACTTAACTTCCTACAACCACAGCACTAGAATCCAAGTGTTCTTGCTGCTATATTTTGGTATTGTTTTTACTTAACAAGGTCAGTTACTCTGAAAAATCATGTTTAGCATCACATGACAAAGTATTCATAACATCCTCTCTTCCTATATAGAGTGTAGGGCCTTCCTCTGCAGCAGGTAAAATCAAAGTCAAGCTTATTATGAAGCTTTTATACTTTACAATTTTCATAAAGCAACTACAGAGTATTTCAAGTTATGGGATCAAAATGTAGTCACAATCACTTTTACAAAATAACTTGGACATTTTAGATGCCACTCTTGGACTCTGAGTAATGTATACATAATGGAGCAGCTGCCCTTGCACAAACGGAACCTGTAGAGATAATGGGCTTCTAGAAGAACTGGTAGGA